GTGAAGGCTTGCACGAACTGCGCCCAACTTCTTATCGATCTAGGTGCAAGGTTTCGGTACCATGTGCGGGGCCACTCCTCTGAAAGTGGTGGAGAAAGCCACGCACATGCAAGACTCACTGGCCCTCGCCAGGTGCATCTGTGATTGGAAAGCGTCTACATGATCGTTTGGGTCAAACGACCCGTCATACTTGTCGAGAGGGGGGAGCTTGAAGTCCTTGGGCATTGGAACAGCCAGGAGCTTAGGAGACAGGGGATGGAACAGAAAGGAGGGGAGCTTTAACTTCACCCGAGCTTACCTCTTCCCTACCTCTGAGCTCGAGCAGGTTGTGGGTGGTAGTTTGGCGAGCTATGCGGCGGCGTCTTTGCTTCTTGGTGGGCTCCACATTGGTATTGCTCACCTCCGTGCTATCAGGAATAGTTTGCGCAGGAAGCAGCTCGGGTTGCTGGTGATGGCTGCGGACAGAGGGGTTCTGCTTAGAGTCTGCAACCATGATCTCGAATCGGTTCTCCAAAAGTGGGGCTTCGAACTTCGATTGCTGAGGTGACGTAGACTTGACAAGCTGGGGTCCTCCCGACCTGACTGCCCGTGGTGAGACCATAGTGGCTGGTCTTTCTTTTCTGCCTCGAGAGGAGGCTTGGCTCTTAGAAGCCTCTCCTTGGCGAGAAGGGCGTTCATCCTAGCGACGAGACCTACCTTGCAGTGAGGCAGGGTGCTGGGGAGGGAGCTGAGGTTGAAACTGAGACAGTTGAGGGAATTGCTGCTGATAGTGATACTGAGAGACTTGGTGCAACACTTACTGCTGGTAGAGCTGGAACTACTGAAATTGTTGCATCTGGGCTTGCATGGCCCGCATGGACTGCACCAGGTTGTCAAGTTGGCTCTGGCTTGTCGTCGGAGGGACAACAGTCGGTTCGGTAAAGGTTGTCTCAACAGAGGGGGGAAGGGGAACACTCACAGGCGCCACTGCTCGTGACACGTTTAGGCTAGGGACTCCGTCCATCGAAAGAGGAATGGTGAACTGCCCAATACAGACCACGGGGACCTGGGGTTGTTCCCCGGCGATGTCCATCTCCATGCTACGTCCGGCATTGATTGAAGAAGCCATGGGTGCTAAGTTTTCAGAAAAGAAGGAACTGTGAAAGTTTAGAGGGAGGCTTTTAGAAGCGTTTCCCACAGACGGCGCCAAATGATGCGAGACAATCAGGGCACTCCTAGCTAGCTGCTGTTTGGCTCCTTGTTGGCGACGAACGGCACCTGAGAAGATGGAAAGGTAGGATTCCCGGGGATTTTTACCCAGTGGGAATACTCCGATGCTTAAGTTAGAATGCAGGAGAAAGAGAAAAGAAGTATGCGATAGCTAAGAGTGTAGGTCGCGCTTTTTCACTATGCTTGAGAGATTAGAAGTCTGAAGAAGAAGTTTCTCTTCTGCCCTGAGGGGTTTTATAGGGGCGTTCTTGTCAGATCGGGCGTAACCGCCACTGGCCCCTGCCACAGCCGTTACCTGCTAGCGTTGCGCAAGTGGCCGTTGCAACGTACTCCTTGCCCGGATGAGTGACACGTCTCCAAAGGGCAGGCGCGCCTCCGCCTGCTGAGAGACGTGGGTGCAGTCTGTCAAAAGGACAGGGACTGCGCCGTCGGTTAAGGGACGTGGCGCAGTCTGATCGGTACGACCTGTCAGATGGAAGCTTCTTGAGGGTTACCCTTAGTAGAATTGGTCCCTGGGATGACTTATCTGCCCGGGGGCTCGGGCGAGCTGGTTTCCCTAGCTCGCGAGCTAAAGTTGCCTCGGAATATCCCTTTCGGGATAGCTCGGGGAACCCGAAGCTCGTGTTGTGGCGAGCTCCTTCTTTTGCGAGCTACGACGTAGCGAGCTGCTTTATGGGCTCGTTACTTAGTCGTATTAGGCCACGATGTTGAGCTGTTGCTCGTGCTGAGTCAGATCCACGTGCCACCATTTCGTAGGTCAGGCCAAATCATCCTCCATCAATTACTTTTTAATATTACAATTAATTCAATTTTTTTTTTATTTATGTTGTTTAATAATTCTTTATTATATTATAATTTGGAAAAATACAGACAACCTCAATGCAGATTTCTGAATTCCACTACAAAGTTATAAATATTCAAAATGTCAAAAACTCTCACTAAATGCCCCTTCATAAATTGACATTAATTTCGAGCTAGTACCCACTTCAACTGTACTTTAGACTTAAAAATTCTGATTCGGTTGAACCACAATTCTCCCTAAAATTTTATTTTACACATATTTCATATTATTCGATCATGATGAAACCTTGAACCGTAAACCTCTTTCTCCTTTATATAATTTTATGACCAGTCTAGTTCTCTCAACAATCAACATTGTTGGAAGTCACACACTCCCGCGTTATGATTTTTCACCAAAGATTACTTCCGCCTTTTCCATATGGGGCCTGATGCTGCTTAATCCTAGGTGGTGCAAGAATTGAGGTCGCAGTCAGATGATCCTTGTCAATTGGGCGGAGTCATGGTGGAAGGATGAAATCGCGCAATGTGATCTAAAACCAAGAAAAAGTCAAAGGCCCGAGAAGTTGTCCTCGAGTAGGTACTCTGACGCTCAAGTTAGCAGAAGGCAGTAAGTGGTTTGGTCGAGTAGTTGGAGAACGGTGCTGGTTGATAGTTATAAATATAACCCTAGCAAGTGTACTAGTTATCAAGTAGTATAAAAATATCGTTCCCACGGGGATTTAATAAGTATTAGAACCACAGTCTTCCCTAATTATGTGRACAATCGAAATTCAGATTTGAGCAAGAACTACTGAAAATAAAAACTAGGAAAAGAAAATAGAAGCAAGGGTGATCACTAACCGAATATGCAATGGATGAAATCGGTAGGGCTTTTGGTCCACCTAACCAATGTAATGAATATTAATGGATTCGATTAACCAAGATTA